TTTGTTGAACTCCCTCTCTCCACCTCAGTGTGCACAACCGTTAACGCTGCCAACTCCCCCTCTCCACCGCCCCAGTTCCAGAGTTAAGCGAGTAGCAACCCACATGGAACTCAGAGCAGTGTGAGATGCAGCAGGCTGCACTGGGATGGCAGAGAAAGTGGTGCTCCTGATCAGAACAAACAGATCTTTGCTTTAGGAGAGCTGAATGGGCACGAGCAAACTCTGGCATGCAACCCTGAGAGAAGAGGGCTGCAGGGCCTGAACTGACGTCAGAGTGGCTGAAATTTTATTACATATATTATCATAGGAGGCCCAGGCTAAGCCTCAGGCAGGAGGGAGTGGATCATCCCACCCTGTGGCTAGAGGCCTGCAATCTAAGTACAGTGCCCTCACAGAAACGGGGAGGATGGTTTCAGAGGTACGATTAGTACAGGAACTATGACTTCTTTGCTGGCGGGGGGGGGGGGGGGGAGAGGAGGAGGGAGTCCTAGGACAGTTGTGAATTTACAGTAAGTGCCAACAGCTGTGAAAGCGAGTACTGTCAGAGGAAAAAAGCATTTCAGAGAAATGGATCTTTAAAACCCTAGACAGTTTATACACAGGCCTGGCTTACCCATCTTCCATAGGAAGACCCTGGCAGGTTTGAAACAGTCCCAAATCCTCTCACAAGACCTGTCTCTGGTCACGAACTCCTGCTAATTCTTGGCCTGAACATGAGACACCAACCTAATCAGGGCTGTCCCTTTCTGGTTCCAAGTACTTTGTTTGCCAGGAACTTTGAGCCAGGTCACTCAGTCTGCTCTTCCCAGCTACAAGAGGATTTGTTACCAGGGCCGGCCTACAACATTTTGGCACCTGAGCCGGGGAGCTCAAATACAACCCCCATACCCCCTCACTCGGGCCCAAACTTTGAAAGGTCTCAATTCTGCCTTCTTCCTGTTCTACTCCTCTCAGGGTACTGCTCTGCTACCTACCCCAATAAAGGAGAACTTAAAATGCCTTGTTCAAAAATTAAGTAACACTGAACTTTTAAACACCTGAACAGCAAATGTAACTTTTCTTGGCTGCATAGTAAACACTGGCATTTTTATGTTTGAATAATCAAAGTGGTGCTTTCCGTGCCTTCTTGGTTGCAAGGATTTGAACTGCTTCCTGCTGAAGGTCTACAGTCTGGGCCAGCTCAGGCTCGATTGAGATGGCTGCAAGGCCGACCAGCCTCTCCTGTGTCATTGTGGAGTGTAGATGTCTTTTTATTAACTTCAGCTTGGAGAAGCTGCGTTCTCCAGTGGCAACTGTTACAGGAAGTGTTAGAGAAGTATTGCAGAGCAACAAAAGCATTTGGAAAGAGGGTGGTCATCTTATTTGTGTACATATATTCCAGAACAGCCTTTGGAGTTGATCCTGCTGAAATGTATCTTGAAAGGGCTTTCAGTTCATCACCTAAATCACTCGCATCAATCGCGCATGTCATCATGTGTTAACACTGTCTCTAGTGCCCTGCATTGCTGGTGTAGGTCTTCTTCAGATATAGTGAGGAGTTTTGGAATATCCTACAACATCCCAGATATACTGCTGTGTTCCTTGAGCAGCAGGAAACATTCAACTGACTGTATTGCACAATCTAGCACCTGGTTAAAGAATTCAACTTTGAATTGTTGTTTGGGATCTCTTATGGGATTATCCCATGCCTTGTAATCAAAATGTCTTCTTCAGTGACTCTTGTATTCCTGAATGGGTGGGAAAATAGCTTCAGTGTGAAGTTCCTCTGCCAACTTCTGTGCATTCTTCAGAACGTTTTGAAATCCCTCATCTGACCGGTAAGACTGTAGGTATGACTTTGCTTTGTCCAGTTGTTCCCTTGCTCCAGATATATCAAGGTCAACATCTTGGAGTCTCTTGCTTACAACATTTATTTCAAACAGTATGTCATGCCACTACACTAAGCCACACAGAAATCTGAAGTTAGGTATGTTTCTGGTGATTCCATTTCTCTCTGCCACTGTTCTCCCACAAATAGTTCCTGTCATAGCATTATCCTCCATAATGGCAACTATGGCATCATCTATCTTCCCAATTTGGTGTTTGATAGGCTTTATCACCTCCACTTGACTTTCCCATTGTGTGGCACTCAGTGGTTTCAGTGTCAGAGAGGATGTGCCCAGATGTTGCTTCAAAATTTGCCATCGATAAGTTGATGCAGAGAATACACAGATGCTTTGAATTACATTAAAAAATTCAGCAGCCTCACTAGAAGCTGATGCTGCATCACTGACCACCAAGTTCAATGAATGAGAAGTACATGGGAGAAAAAAAGCTCGAGGATTTAACTCTTGGATCCGTGTCTGCACTCCTCTGTTCTTTCCTTTCATGTTGGCACCATTATCGTAGCCCTGACCTCTCATATCAGCTTTCGCAATTCCCATATCTTCCAGCTTTTTAAGAAGCACATTTGTAATACCAGCTCCTGTATCATCATCAATGTCAATAAATTCTAGAAAATGCTCTGACAGTCACCGTTGCAGGGATGTTTTCACTAGATTCTGTTGATGTTACAAAACGGACCATTAAATTCATTTGTTCTGTATAGCTGATGTCAGGTGTGCAGTCCAGAATAATGGAGTAATATCTTGCTGACTTCAGATCTGCCACAATTTTCTGTTTGAATTTTGTTGCCAGTAACTGTATGATCTCATTTTGAATTGTTTTTCCAAGGTAGTGGTGTGTGCAGATTTCTTGGGTGGTGACTCTTCTTAGATGCTCCTGGAGTACAGCATCAATCTCAGCCATCAGCTCCACAATTTTAAGGAAGTTTTCATTGTTTGGCACATACAGCTGATCTGAAATGCCATGCAGTGCTATGTTGTGGGTAGCAACCATTCTCACAATGGCAATGAGCCTTTTCAGAACATTTTGCCAGTAAAGAGACTCCGATGCAATCTTCTCATGATGCTGATCATCTATGGTGGCTTTTAACCTTAGTCTCACCTTGAGTGCTTTCCACCTATGGAATGCTCTCTGGAGATTTGCTGCCTTCTCATGGCATGCCAGATTATTCCAGTCCTTTGTTCCTGTAGAACCCCCTGTGGCTGGAACATTAGACTGGAAGAGTTTGCAACAAAAACAGTACGCAGCACTCTGGGTTTGAGTACCTAAGCCATGGCCTTTCCACTTTGTCACCATTGGGGATTTCACGCCAGTAATGTGTTGGATGGAAACTTCTATTTTCATTGTCTTTGGGGAACATGAAGTTTTTCACTTGCTGTGGCCCATGCAGTACAAGGAAGTCCCTCAGGCTACTGCTCAAGTGGGTCCACAGTCCTGGATCATCTAGACTTATGGAACTAAACTCAGCAGCAGCTGTTTCTTGCACTTCCACCACACTCTCCTCTGATCTACACTTTTCTTCAGGAATGTGCATGGATGCATCCATTTGAGATGGAGATATAGATGCTGCAGTAGCTGCCAGGTCCCCTGGAAGATCGGGCATCTCCTCACTATTCACATCCTCACTGGGGCTGGAAGGCTCATCGTGAACATTTGTGTCTATGACAGGTTTCAGAGGAACAGCCGTGTTAGTCTGTATTCGCAAAAAGAAAAGGAGTACTTGTGGCACCTTAGAGACTAACCAATTTATTTGAGCATGAGCTTTCGTGAGCTACAGCTCACTTCATCAGATCTTCATCTTCATCTGATGAAGTGAGCTGTAGCTCACGAAAGCTCATGCTCAAATAAATTGGTTAGTCTCTAAGGTGCCACAAGTACTCCTTTTCTATTTGTGTCTATGTATCTCAGGAGAGCTCCTTCCTGCTTAGATAGAAAAGCTTCCTTTTTTTTTCTGAATGCTGCCCCAGAGGGGCGTTTTCTGCTTTCACTCATGACTGCTGTTCTGTGCCAGCTATAGTGGCTCTCAACACTCAGTAGAAGGGGACAAATGAGCAGGCTGGTAGCAGAGCCTGAGTGAGGGAAGATATCAGCATCTTAAGGGCCTAACTGGCTCCTGCTACTTCAGTTGAATGCCTGTTCTCCTCAAGTGGGTTCAGGGAAGCAGCAGGAAACAGGAAGCTCCCCGAGAAGCTGGTGTTAATCAGTCCAGGCTCCTGGGAGTGCTAGAGAGGTACATAAGAGGCTCCTCTGCCTCTCTCTCCCTGCAGCTCCTTCTGCTTTCTGTTATTCCCTCTCACCTTTTCTCCTGACTGCCTGTTATGTCTCATGCCCTCCTTCCTCCAGCACAGCACTCCACCATCTCTGTGCATGTAGATCAGAGAGAATACATATGCACCAGCAGCAAACACAATTTTCTACACTCTGAGTCCTAGTGGCACCCCCACCCCCCAGTCTGGCACCTGAGGCAGCCGCCTCAGTTCGCCTCATGATAAGGCCAGCCCTGGTTGTTACCTGCATTATCTTCAGTAACTGGGGATTTGCATTAGTCCCTCTGATTGACATTTGCTCCTGTAAGACACATCCATGAAGCCAGGAACACAGCCACTAGAAGCGTTCTAGATATCTCAATAGGGTTGTTAAAAATCTGACTGTTCCAGGATACCATAGCACCTGTCACTGGCTGCTCCCTCTCACCCAGCCTTCCCAAGAACTCCTCTTCGCCTGAGCAGAGGAAGGAGAGCTTTGCCTGCTTCCTGCAGCAGCTCCGATTGACTGCTCTTCCCCAGGAGCCTGGCCCTCTTTCTCCAGCCCCACTCATCACACTAGAGCCAAGTCCCTTGAGGCACGGTGGGTGTTTGATAACAGGGAATATCCTTCCTCCCCAGCTGATTGGGATGGGTGCTCCTCTCCCCTTAGGATTACCGGGTGAACGTCTTCCTACGCCAGCAGTGGAACGACCCCCGCCTGGCGTACAGGGAGTACCCAGATGACTCGCTGGACCTGGACCCCTCCATGCTGGACTCCATCTGGAAGCCAGATTTGTTCTTTGCCAACGAGAAGGGGGCCAACTTCCATGAGGTCACCACCGACAACAAGCTGCTGCGCATCTTCAAGAATGGCAACGTGCTCTACAGCATCAGGTATGCACGGGGCAGGGAGAAATGAGGTGAGCAGGGAAGGCAGGAGAGGAGAAGATTCTGGCTACCTAGGGGGGAAAACAAGGCAGGGTCATCCAGGGAAAAAGGGATGAAGAACAAGTCTTAGGATCATAGACACATGGGGATAGAAGGGATCTCAAGAAGTCATCTAGGCCACCCCCTGTATTGAGGCAGGTCCAAATATACCTAGACCATACCAGACAGGTGTTCATCCTCTAACCTGGTCTGCAAGGCTTCCAGTGATGGGGATTCCACAACCACTCTAGGTAACCTGTTCTAGTGCTTAGCTACTCTAGAGTTGAAAAGGTTTTCCCTAATAGACAACCTAAATCCCCCTGGCTGCAAGCCTTCAGTGGGTGTGAAGAACAATTGATCGCTGTCCTCTTCATAACAGCACTTAACATATCAGGCCTTCTTTCTGCGTCTAACTTAACAATGTTCAGTTCTTTCAACTTTTCCTCATAGGTCATATTTTCTAAACCTTTTATTATTTTTGTTGCTCTCCCTGGACTCTCTGCAATTTGTCCACATCGTTCCTAAAGTGAGGTGCCCAAAACAGGATACAATACTCCAGCTGAGGCCCCACCAGTGCCGAGTAGAGCAGAATAATTACCTTCTATCTCTTAGATAGGACATTCTTGTGAATACACCCCAGAATGACATTTGTTTTTTTCCTGCCAGCATCAGATTGAATATGAGTTAACAATTTGTGATCCACTGTAAACCCCAGATCCTTTTTTGCAATACTACCACCTACCCATTTTGTAGCTGTGTGTGCATTTGATTTTTCTTTCTTAAGTACTTTGCACTTGTCTTTACTGAATTTCATCTTGTAGACTTCAGACCAACTCTCCCATTTATCAAGGAGATTTTGAATTCTAACCCTGTCCTCCAAAGGGCTTGCTACCCCTCCCAGTTTGGTGTCATCCAAAGATTTTTATAAGTGTACTCTCCATACCATCATCCAAGTCCTTAATGAAAATACTGAATAGTACCAGACCCAGGATGTACCTCTGGGGAACCCCACCAGATATATCCTCCCAGTTTAACAGCAAGCCATTGATAACTATTGCAAGTATGTTTTTTCAGCCAGGTGTGCATCCACCTTGTAGTAATTCATCAGGACCACATTTCCCTCAACTCTTGATCCACTGACTGGTGTGGAAGGGAGCCTCACCGCAGGCACCCCCTGGCCTGGCTGGACATGGTGTAGCATCCTTTTCCTCTCCAGCATCCCCTGCCACTGGTCACTCCGGTCCTGTGGTGGTGCCTCATCTTACAACTTGGCCTGCCGGGAGAGTCACATTTCAGTTCTACCCCTTCCAAGATGACAAAGTCTCACAGATAATCCAGTATCTTTGCATCAGGCCCTCAGCCCTGTGGTCCTTATATACTTCTCTCAGGACTTTAGATTATCCTTATCCTCTTACAGCCAGGGGCTTCAAGCCACCTTCCCAGTGGCTGGTAGGGGAACCCAGGCCTGTCCTCTGCACTGGGTTCCAGTCCAGGGACCCTTGGACAAGCAGCCTAGGTCTGCTTTGTCAGAAGCCTTAAAGCTGCCTCCCTGGACTTCTTCCATTAGTCTTTCTTCAGGCCTTTACCCCAGCCCTTTACTTGGCACTTGATAACAAGCAGCACCTCCCAGGGCTTCTCCCCAGGGGTCCAGTTCCTGTCTTTTTGTCAGGGTCAGCTGCAGGAACTTGCTCCAATTCTGCATCTTCCAGAGAATAACTGCAAAACTCTGCCTACAGCCCCTTCTGGGCCAGACTTCTCTTTATAGTCTCACCCAGCACTTCCCCAGCAGGGCCTCATCTTTAATTACACCAGGTGCATCCTCCAGATGCCACTCAGGCCTACATTAACCCTTTCATCACCCATGTGAGGTCACTACCCCATCACACATGGCATGTATACCCCACTGATTTGCTCATGTCCCTCCCAGTGGTGAATAGCCTATTATTATTACCAGCTCAGGGAGTTACTCCTTTAGCTGGAGTGATACAGGCCCATGCCTGTAGTGCTGAAGTTTCCTGACTCAAGCCCCCTGATGGGGGAGCCATTACACATAGAACTAATAAGAGGTTCCACACCTGCTGTTAACCATGGGCCAGCAGCACAGCTCTCTCACCTCTGAGTCCCAGGTCTGCTTTGGAAGACAAAGGGCGGGAAGGGCTTATCCAAATGCTGTAGGCTCAGACAACCTGCTCCATTCTTTCTGCTCCTCCCAGGCTGACGCTGATCCTCTCTTGCCCCATGGATCTCAAGAACTTCCCCATGGACATCCAGACGTGCACCATGCAGCTGGAGAGCTGTGAGTACCCCCTGGGAATGACGGGCAGGGATAAGGATGTGAAGCGGGATTGAGGGCCGTGTCCTACCATCTCTCCAGGCTGCTCCTGTGGTGGCTGCCTGCAGCAGCATAGGGGAAGGACACTCAGCAGGCTGTGTCCAGCAGTTGTCTTTGTATGTGTCTCCCGTGCTGACCCCTTCCAGAGCCGGCTCCATGTAACCCCACTTCTCCTGCGTACTGGGCCTTGCCGCTACTTCTGACTGAGGAAGCTGCCGGGTAACTGAGACAGGAGGTGGGGGTAGGTGCAATGGAGGGAGATGGGGAAAGGGGTGAATGGCGGTGAGGGGGAAGAAGGGGAGGAAAAGGTGGAAAGGAGGGCCAGCAATGAGAAGATGAGCCAAGGAAGGCTATGGGGACACACCCAAGGGGGGCTGTGGCACAGGAGGGAAAGGGACGCGATTAGTGGGCAGCTGAGAGACACCGTGTGGGGGAAACTCTGGGGTGAGTGGCCCTCACTTTGGGACTGGGAGACTGCAGGAGTGGGAGGGCAGGGGGGGAGATGATGGGCCTAATACTGTATATGAGCCCCTGGCGGGAGGATCACGGCTGCTAGAAAAGCTCATCCGTAATCTAGTTCCAGGAGAGAGAGAGAGTGAGTGTTCCTAATGCTATGTTTGGGGGAATGATTACAAGTGTCAGAGTGTGTGTGTGGTGCGTGAGATAATGCTGTACCCATCTTGTGAGTGCTCTGACTGTGCGAATAGCCTGTATATCCCAGGTGTGCTTGTCAGTAGGTTTGCATGAGTATGAATTTCTGTGAAGGCATGCATCTCTATGGCATGATGTGCATGCATTTGTGTCAGTGCATGCCTGTCTGTGGTGTCTATTATGTGGCATGCCTATCTACGCATTTGTGGCTATTCCCTTCCAAACAGGAGCACTTCCAAGTCCTTACGCCACTCTAGTCCCAAGGCGTGAATGCATGGACTCACAGCACGCATTGCAGGCAGCATTTCAACACGTCCAGCTATGCAGGGCAGGTCCCACCTCCAAAACAAGGAGCTCACAGAACAGGGCAGAATTCCTCCTTGGGAAGTTCTCAATTGCACCATAGCCCTTCACAGCTACTGCGGGCTAATGGGCTAACCTCAGTGGGAATGCCCTGTGCCAGCACACTTAATGTACAGACCCAGGGGCAGCAACACAGAGCAGCCTCAAGTCTGCTTCTCCATCATCCTGTTTCTAGAGTTGGCCTGAGGGTTCTCAGAATCGTCTCCCAATTTTCATTCTCTCTGCCCTCGTTCCCTTGCTCCATCCACCCTCACTCTCTCTCATGCTCTCTCTGTTTGCCAGTTGGCTACACCATGAATGACCTGATCTTTGAGTGGCTGGAAGAGCAAGAAGCTGTCCAAGTGGCAGAGGGCTTGACGCTCCCACAGTTTATTCTGAGGGATGAAAAGGATTTGGGCTATTGTACAAAGTATTACAACACAGGTAAGCGCCACACACACACACACACAGTAGAAGTCTGCTCCAACAGCCTCAGAGCACAGGTAAACCACACCGCTAGACTACCCCACGCATAACTCCACTCTGGGGTTTCTGCAAGCAATCAGAGCAGGGAGGGTGGTCCTGATCCCACCCCAGGAACAACCGTTTAGGACTGGAAGTGCATCTGGAGATTGTCTCCAATTGAAACAGCAGGGGAAGCTGGGAGCGTATCTCCCTGAGTTATCACTTACTAGACCAGCAGGGCTAATGCCCCAACTCTTACAAAGAGTGTCACGGGGCCGCCAATGGCCACACCTGGCCAATGCCTTGGTTTTGTGTCTCCCCAGAATGCCAGCCATGAGCTAGGAGGTTCTGACCAGGTCACCACAACCTCTCTTAGGGCTGCCCAGACCTAGTGACCATCTGTGGCATTGACCTATCTCGTGTCTCTCTCCTTGCAGGAAAGTTCACCTGCATCGAGGTGAAGTTCCACCTAGAGAGACAAATGGGCTATTACCTGATCCAGATGTACATTCCCAGCCTGTTAATTGTCATCCTCTCCTGGGTCTCCTTTTGGATCAATATGGATGCTGCACCCGCCCGTGTAGGGCTGGGGATCACCACAGTGCTGACCATGACCACCCAGAGCGCGGGCTCCCGGGCCTCTCTGCCAAAGGTCAGTGGAAGGGGGTTACGGATCATGTCAGCATTGCCTGTGCCATCATATCATCTATTCCGTGCTCCAACACCACTGCTCCTCCAACTCCTCCGGTTTTAGCCAGCTGTCATGGAGGGAGATCTGGAGCAAAGCAGGCCCAGGGCAAGCTGTGGGACCTTCTTTCCTTCTATCCCAATTTCCTGAGCACAAGCCATGTACCCCAGTGCTCTCCCCACTCACGTTACTGGACAGTAACTGTATGTCAGGTCCCAGACACACAGAGGGCTCAAATCTTGTGTGGGGCAGAACCCAGTGCAGAAACCAGTAACCAAGAGCCAGATCCTCAGCTGCAGTAGAGTGATGTAGCTCCACTGAAGTCAATGGAGCAACACTGATTTACACCAGCTGAGGAGCTTGCCCCTGTTCTCAGTGTGCTCCGGACCTGCTGAACATACAGGAGCATGCACTGTGGAGAAAAATCCCACCTTTCCACCACTGGGCCTCACCGGAGCTTTGCTTCCTCCCCTGTGCTGCAGCAAACTGTCCTTATGCCAGGATCACTCTCAGTCAGGTTGTTAACCTCTCAACAATGTGAATTTAGTAGCAATTGCAAGGATGAAAAAGCAGAACTACGCTGTAATTACAATCGCTGCATTCAAAAATGGAACTGAGAGGCTCAAGCCTGGAATAGCTGGGGGCTGCAAGTCAGGAGAGAGGGGCATTGGCAGAGTGGCTGTGGGGAGCCCAGGGCTGGAACAGCTGGCGGCTGCATGTCAGGAGAGGAGAGGGGCATTGGCAGAGTGGGTGTGGGGAGCCCAGGGCTGGAACAGCTGGGGGCTGCATGTCAGGAGAGAGGGGCATTGGCAGAGTGGGTGTGGGGAGCCCAGGGCTGGAACAGCTGGGGGCTGCATGTCAGGAGAGAGGGGCATTGGCAGAGTGGGTGTGGGGAGCCCAGGGCTTGAACAGCTGGGGGCTGCATGTCAGGAGAGGAGAGGGGCATTGGCAGAGTGGGTGTGGGGAGCCCAGGGCTTGAATAGCTGGGGGCTGCATGTCAGGAGAGGAGAGGGGCATTGGCAGAGTGGGTGTGGGGAGCCCAGAGCTGGAATAGGCTCTGCAGCTGAGGTTGAGGTACTCTGGTGGAGCTGAGCACAGGAGCAGTTTGCTCCTCCCCAGCATGCACTGTGCCTCGCGCCAGCCTGTTCTCTGAGTCCCCAGGTGACAAGCACTTTGCACTGTCTGGTGCAGTTGAAGGAGGTGTTTCAAATTTTAGCTTCCTGCTGCCAGAAAAGATCCCTTTCGGCCAGGCCAGCTCCTGCCAACACGTTCAGCCCATCTGCTCACCGCAACTATTTATAGTTTCCTTATTCAGAAGCAAAATGTTTCTTGCTGCTTCCTGCACATCCTGAGGATGATGCTAGGGTCTTTTCAGCTACCAAATGATGCTGTTAGCCAGTAAGCACATGTTCCAAGAGTCCCGCCCTAGATGTTGGTGATGTCCCTGTGACTGCAGGAGCTAGAGGAAGCCCAGCTGCAGCACCTGGGATCCGTGAAGGGGAGTGAGGGATGGAGACAGTTTTGGATGCTGACAGGGTAAACCTGGCCCTGAAGAGCTAAACTGAGAGGGAACATTCCCAGGCCTTTCTGTTCTGACTCCAGCAGAAACCACCATCTTTTAAAGCAAACAAACATCCTCTGGCAGCATTTGCAACCCTGCCATTGACTCACTGAGAGTAAAACCAGTTCTAAACCACTGACTCTGATGTCCTTGAGCGCCAGCGTCCAAACAGAGAGAAATACACAGAAAGGACAGCCACCATAAGCAGGGTCAGCTCCAGAGGAGTTTTACAAGCCCTCCCTCTTGTGCTATTAAGGGGTCAGGGAAGGAAAAGTCTTTGCTTAACTGTGAGCCAAAGATCACAGCATGCTGGATGCACATTGGGTGGTAAGCTTAGTTGTAAACCTGGCTCCATGTTCTTCCAGAGCGGAGAGCGTCCAGATTTTGTGGGGAATTTAAATGAGGTTTTCTAATTTTTAGCAGGGGAAAGGAGATTGTACTAAGGGTTCTTCTTTCCGCTCAAACAGGGCAAGAGCTAGTTATGAGTTATTCAGTATTCGCATGACAGTAGAAGCCCCGACTGAGAGCAGGGCCCCCTAACGGCAGGTGCCGTACAGACACATAGTAAGAGCCAGTCCCTGCCCCAGAGAGCGAATGAGTGGTGCAGTGCACCAGAACACCAGCTTCTCAGCTCCACAGGCTGGAGGGTTTTGTTTAGATCACCAGTAAAGTGAGTTGGGATGTCTTGTCCTGCTGACCATTCACACATCATAAAACTGCATGATTGGCAAGGGAGATTCAAGGCTGGAATAGCAGGGGGCCACAGGTCAGGAGTGAGGGGCATCGGTAGAGCTGTGTGAGGAGTGGGGCAGGACTGGAAGAGAAACAGATTTCCAGCCCAGGACAGAGGTGCCTTGGCAAAGCTAGCTCAGCTCCTGCCAGCCCCGTGTATGGGCAACGATGCAACAAGCCCCTGAGTTTAACCAGCTCTCGAATCCACTCTTCGTTCTTAAGAAAAGACTGACTCAGGCCACCAAGCCCCCGTCACGCTCCCAGGCATGAGCAGTGTCTGGGACTGGCATCGTCTACTGTGGCGTTGGTTAAGGGGCTCCCATTCAGTCAGCCCTCAGGAAGGGACAAGAAGCCAGCCTGGGAAGGGCCTGCCCTTGGGTCAGTCCGGGCCAAGGGGGAGCAAGACCCTCCTTGTCTCTTGCAGCACTCAGAAGGACACCATGCCAGGGAGGGCTGCTGGCCAAGCCAGCAGAGCCCCACGGCTGTTCTGCCAGGGGCCCAGTGAAGCAGCGACAGCGACGACAGGAGGCGA